AGGAGGAGTCTTAGCCAAAGCCGAGTCGGTATCCAGGAGAGCAAAGAGTTAACTGAACAGGAGCTTGCTGCTGTGCAACAGACAGGACACGAATGCAATGGACAGCTGCAAACAGCAGACTTAAATGTGATAAGCCGCCACCTCCTGGGAGGAGCTGCAGAGGGCTGAAAGCAAAAAGGATCCCACAATGCTTTGCAGACCTAAGATGGATCCCAGCACATGGAGCAGCACAAGCCCTGAGGAAAGGTAGGACCTTGATATATGGGCCTGGGTGTCTTAATCCTATATGCCACACATTCCCTTACAGTTTGAAGTTTAGCTGCACCCCCCGCTGTATTTTAGATCTATCGTCCTGACCAATGGCCACACCAAATGCAAGTGCAGGAAGAAATGAGGCACTTGAGAGCCAAGGTGAGTTTCTCAGTTTTGAGGTCATTGGGTTTGGTTCACACTTACATTAGTGATGTAGTGTAATTTAAATGCATTCTGAAAAATGCTTGTTGAGATCTCTGCTAATAAAATCAGTGAAACGAGCACCGCATGAAGAAAACACAGATGAGCACAGTGCCATTGACCATAATATTGCAGATCTCCTAACTCCTTTTATGTGCAATTTCAATTGGTTTAAAATATATTATGATTTTGTACAAATTTTTTTTTTAACATGGTCAAGCCTAAAAAAATTAATAAAAAATATCTCATTAAGTATATAATGCAAATAAATAATTTGTATTTTTGTATATACAGTCAACAGGTGCAAGTCACAGGTACTTTTCTCCAGACTACATTTATCTGGTCTGATTAAAATGTTCTGTAAAAGAGTCAGAGCAGTGCTTCTTCCCCCTACTTTAGATGGCTCCATAACACATATCAATTAGAGACACAGTATCTGATAGAAAACCTCTTCTGCTGTGTTGCCTCCTTGGACAATCCATAATGCTCTGTGAATCCTTTGTCATTGTAGCAGCCTGTATTTAAAGTGTTACTAAACCCACAACAGTAAATCCAGTCTGTATATGCAGTAAAGCCTGCTTGTTATACTCACTGTGGAACCTAAGGGGTTAATCCTCTGGACTGTGAAAAAACGCTGTTTCATCCTGACTTCTCTGATCCTCCCCCTTCCAGTGTCCCCCTCTTATCTCCTGATAAGACATATCTGTGGACACACTCTGCACATGCTCAGTTTGGTGTGTATTGCTACAAAAAAATTTTTTTTTTTTTCTTGGGAGAGTACACAGGGTAAATCAGCACTGTCCAGACAGAGATCTTGCATCCTCCTAGAGCAAAAAGAAAACTGCTCCTACAAACCTTAACCTGTGCTCTGCTGGACAATGATAGAAGTCACAAGACTGCTCTATCTGCTGATGAGAAAAGGTATTTAGCATTTTATATTTATTAACATAATTGCATTTCTATGTTGTGTGTACTGTGAAAGACCAGATATAGTGAATGCAGTATCCTAGGTTTAGTAACACTTTAAAGGAATGGGTCAGTAGGGTAAGGTTACAGGTTCTCCACACTCCACCCACCTTCACTGCGTTACCCAGCAGCTCCATTTTTCTGACACAGCCGTGGGTCTGAACTCAGGAAAGCACTTAGTTATTCATCACCTAAACAAGGTTAATGACCTTCTCCCCTCCATCACATGTTGAAGGCTAGTGATTGCCTGCTCAGGCCCAAGCTCTGCATCCTGGGAAGAAGAGGAGAAGGTCACATACTCTCATATTAGAGCTCTATCAGAGGAATGGAGCAGTGGCGGAGTGCAGCAAAGGTAGGTATCAGTGGGTAGGTGGGGTTGGGCTTTCAGGAGAACCGTTCACTTTTTCCTGAATGGGCAAAATGGCATATAGTTTTTATAGGTTTATTTGTATAACAATGACTGTATAATACAGTATATAGCAGGCGCGGACTGACCATTTGGAAACTTGGGCACTGCCCGAGGGCCGGGGTCAGTAGGGGGCCCCATGAGATGCCCCTGGTACCTTATTCATAGGCTTTTTTAAGTTTGGGCAAGGGCATAGGGGCCCCATGATCCCCTATTGCCCGGGGGCCCCATGAGTTGTCAGTCCGCCCCTGGTATATAGATATTATAATACAAGTTGTGGCGCTCTCTAGTGGAGGCCTGAGATGCAGTGCATTCCTCCATGATCATATATACTATACTATTAGGCTCCATGCACATGGGGTGTTTTATTAACTCTGGCAATGTTATCTGTGTAAAGTCACATTAAAAACGTGAGTTTTTCAGCTTTTATTAGCGATTTTGCATTAGCGTTTAGCAGCATTTTTCCAGGTTTGCGGTTTTTAGCTTTTTTTTACCAAAAAAATTTTTTTTTATTGGTAAAAAAAAATGCTGGTTTGCAGCATTTTACCGCGTTAGAGCATTTTCATGGCTAAAAAAACTCCTCTTGAAACCCATTAGTCCTGGGGTTTCTTTAAAGCCAAAAAAGTGCCAAAAATGTTGATTACAGTCTACGTGTGCATGGATACATAGGATAATATGCTGATGGTTTACTAGATGTACAAAAAAACGTCAAAAGCCAAAAACAGAAGCTGCAAAAACGTCCAGTGTGCATGACACAATTTTCTCGCTTTATGGTTTACATCCAGATGCATTAATACCTGTTGGGCCATAAGCAAACACTGTAGCATTATATCCTCTAACAATGCCATCAACCAGGTTTTTGGTAGTGGATTCATAGACATGTTCCTGAAAAACATAAAAATTTCTTGAAAGACAAAATTTTAAATAAATGTATTTTCTACATAAACAGATTAAAACAGCACTTTTAAATCATACTTCAGATTAAATGCAAAACCTTTTTGCTCCTCCTAAATCAAAACTGCCTGACATTCTATACACTCTGACCATGCTGCAAAGAAATTGTAGGCACTGTTATGATGCCTTGAAAAAGTATTCATACCCCTTGAAATTTTCCACATTTTGTTATGTTAAAACCAAAAACAAATGTATTTTATTGGGATCCTGCAGACAGATCTACCCACCTGAGCTGTGGATCTCTGCAGCTCCTCCAGAGTTACCATGGGCCTCTTGGCTGCTTCTCTGATTAATGCTCTCCTTGCCTGGCCTGTCAGCTTAGATGGACGGCCATGTTTGGGTAGGCTTGCAGTTGTGCCATACTCTTTCCATTTTCAGATGATGGATTGAACAGTGCTCTGTGACATGTTCAAAGCTTGGGATATTTTGTTTATAACCTAACCCTTTAAAATTATCCACAACTTTATCCCTGACCTGTCTGGTATGTTCCTTGGACTTCATGATGCTGTTTGTTCACTTATGTTCTCTAACAAACCTCTGAGGGCTTCACAGAACAGCTGTATTTATACACAGGTGGACTCTATTTGCTAATTAGGTGACTTCTGAAGGCAATTGTTTCCACTAGATTTTAGTTAGGGGTATCAGAGTAAAGGGGGCTGAACACAAATGCACGCCACACTTTTCAGATATTGTAAAAAAATGTGAAAGCCATTTATCATTTTCATTCTACTTCACAATTATGTGCCACTTCTGTTGGTCTATCACATAAAATCCCCAAAAAATACATTTACGTTGTTGGTTGTAACATAACAAAACGTGGAAAATTGCAAGGGTATGAATGCCTTTTTAAAGGCAATGTATAAGCCTTGCTTACTGCACCTCTTTAAACTTCAGCAAACCCCCCCATATAATGGAGATAATGAGAAGGGGAGGTATTCTGTAGTGCTAACTTCCTGTCTTAGGGTAGAATTGCTCCTCTATAGATACAGTACTGTGAGTGTTGTCACCCTATAAACAGAAAGTGTGTTACTGGCAGGATCACAAGGTGGAAATACAGAAAACTAGTCTGAAAAATCCTAAAAACAGTGCAGGTTGGTAGATGGTCATATAGATGACTGAACCCTGACTGTGGTTACTGCATTGTAAGCACTTTATAATACAATATGTGAGCATGTGACATATATCTCTCATCTACAAAAGTGGTCATATAACCTGTCTTCTACACAATTTATTCTGCTCTGTATAATACATATATCCTCAAGCATGGCATCTGCAAATATGTACTGTCTAGCATAGGCAAACATACAATGAAGGGTGATGTACAGCAAACTTAGCCCACAACACTTGAGGGAATTTACGAAGACTGGAGCAGACAGAATCTGGAACAGCTGTGCATGACAGTCAATCAGCTTCTAGCTTTAATTTTCATAGCTAAATGCCAGGTTTATATGTGCGGCTAATTTGTTGCACCTCTGAAAATCGATCTACATTCAAATCACTTCTCAGAAGCATTTGACAGATGCCAGGTCCATACGTCTGTATGTCAGAGGCGGTTTACACACAATCCGGTGGCTGCAGCCACTAAGATTGTGTCTGAAATTGACAGGCAGACTCCTACCTGTCAGGTGGAAGCAGTTGGGTTGCTGCGCTGCCACCTAATTGCTTCCACAGTCCTCAGTAACCTCCCTCTTCTCTCACACACACACGTGTGCTCTCATCATGTATTGTGGGCTCCACTTACCCATTTGCAGTCCTGAGCCAGGGGCGGACTGACCATTTGGAAACTCGGGCACTGCCCGAGGGCCCGGGGTCAGTAGGGGGCCCCATGAGATGCCCCTGGTACCTTTTTCATAGGCTTTTTTGAGTTTAGGCAAGGACACAGGGGCCCCATGATCCCCTATTGCCCGGGGCCCCAGGAGTTGTCAGTCCACCCCTGCCTGGAGCCAACATGGGTGCCAGCAGGTGGAGAGGAGAATGGACACACATCCACTCTCCTCCCCTTCTTACTGTGACCCAGAAAGCGACATGTATGACGTCACTTCCAGGTCACTACTGTCACTTTTCCCTGGCTAGACCCTGCATGTCTCATTAGCAAGAACCTGTCACCTAAAAATCATCACCTAAAAAGAGTTAGACCCAAGCACATAACATCCCCCTAAAAAAATTATGAGGCCCTCCCAAACCCCACATATACTCACGTATGCGTGAAAACGATTGCGATACACATGTTACATATTGCCATGCTCACTGGATTAGAGTGATTCTAAGCCTTATTTTGTTTAAGCAAAAATTACAAACATGTCTATACTTACCTGCTGTGTGTAGTGGTTTTGCACAGAGCAGCCTGGATCCTGCTCTTCCCGGGTCCCATGCAGGCCCTCCCTCCTGTTGGGTGACCCCACAGCAAGCAGGCTGCTATGGGGGCACCCGGTGCTCTGTCTGTTCATTCACACATGGAGCTGTGGCTTGGCCCCGCCCCCTCTCTTCTCATTGGCTCACTGGCTGTGATTGACAGCAGTGGGGAGCCAATGGCTCCCACGTCTGTCTCAGCCAATGAGAAGAGGGAGTCCGGGGATAGCCGAGACTCCAGTGCACATTGCTGGATCGAGAGGGGGCTTAGGTGGGTATTAGAGGGAACTGAGGGGGATGCTGCACACAGAAGACTTTTTACCTTCATGCATAGAATGCATGAAGGTAAAAAACCTTGATCCTTTGGAACCGCTTTAAGAGCAATAATTCTAGCACAAGACCTGTTCCGTAGCACTAAACACATGAACTGTATGGGCTTTTGAAGTGTCGCCTATAGAAAATAGAGGGTACTGAAGTTTGTCGCCATTTCACAAGTGCACGCAATTTTAAGGTTTGACATGTTGGGTATCTATTTTCTCAGCACAACCTTGTCTTTTATATTTCACCTAAAATTTGGGTAATTTATTGCGTTTGCCCTACAATTCACTACGTTTTTTTTTTCTGAAGTGTTGAGTTTCCTAGACCTCTGCGGTAATATCGTGTGACGTAAAAATGTGTAGCTGCCACTATTTTATTCTCTAGGGTCTCTGCTTTCAGAAAATATATGATGGTTGGGGGGTTTGTGTAATCTTCAGGCCTGAATTGATTTTTTAAACGTGTGTAAAAAAATGCAAAAACAGCTCTGGCAGTGAGACGGCTAAAGCATCTGGGAAATAAGAATATCTGTGTGATCTATGGACTAAAAAGTTTCAACGGTCTTTTAATTATTTTTTTTTTGTGAAGGATGATCAGATAGACAGCTACTATTTGTAGATAAGTTTAAATATACATGCAAAATGACAGTTGATTTTTGCTAAAGACATGGCCTACCAAAGTAAAAATGTCCTGATTCTGTTTGTGTCCAAATATATGTAAAATGTAAAGCTATAAAGAGAGCAATTGCAGCCATTTTAAATAATTATCTGCAATATCTAAGCCAAGAATAACATCAAGAGCTTCCATTTCCAATCAATTTTTGGCATACATTTGGAAATTTAAAAAGAAAATAGCAAAACAGATGATTTTTTCTTGTTTATAACTCAGCAATCAATACATGCAAAAAAAGTATCCAATATATTTTTAAACTGTTCTAAAATACAGCAATATAGCGCCTATATTTGGTTTCGGGAAAGCTGATATGAGTATTTGCAATTCAAGATTCATCTAGAATGTACCAGATTCATTTGATCTGCCTAATATGCAGTGGATCTCATATCATTTTGCTCTCTATTATACTGATATCACAGAAAAGGTGCACCTACATGGATCAGAGGGAAATTTACCTGGGTAGCATCCTGATCAAACACAGCATCAAATACAAAGGTCCTGTCTCTAGAACGCTTTGCACGCAGGAAGTCCTCAGACCCTCCTGATGGATCCTTCAGCAGCAGTATCTGAAAGAAGAGATCACAGGGAGAATATTTAGCACTAGCAGTATCTGAAAGGTTTGCAGGGTCTACAATTAAACCTGGCCATGAATTTGTAAGTCTTGTATGATCTGGATAATGGGCCATGATCAAATTCTAGCTTCTAGTTAAAGCTGCTAATTTTTTTTTCAATCCATAGAAAAGTAATGTTTTCATTTTAGATGTAGACTGAGGCAAGACATTGGGTTCTTCTTATGTCTTGAAAACCCCAACACCATGATCTGCCTCCCGTAATTCTTGACTTTTTTCCACTTCTCGCAGAAATAATGGGTGCTCCCACCAACTTTTGCATGTTCCAGCACCTATCCATCATATAACAAAGAATCCAGCAGGGGAAGTGGGCAGCCCTCATAATGGCCACAGCAGATGTGCACACGCAAAAACTCAAGCACAAAGATTTCGTCAGTAGAGCCTCCAAAGGGTAGAAGAAACTGTCAAGTTTAGGTGGTCTAAGACATTCATCAATAAGTACTATTCAGCTATCAGAGCTGTAGAGAACCCAACTTACAATGACTGTAGCAGTCTCACTTAATCGTTTCACTGTCATGGACGTTAGGCTTACATTGGAAAGCTGGCCGGCTAAGTCTTACGTCCTTGATCAAAATGAATTTCTATGATAAGTGGCTGAGAAGCTGCTGATGGTAGCCATTTCATCTAAATATGGCCTCCCAATTCCATCCCTTCTCGGCTGCTGTGGCACCACTGCTACTCCTGCCAAGCAACTTGCAGTGTATGTGACTTGTCAGTGATCCTCAATGCCTTGTGCCCTCAAACTACTCCTCTCCATATCCACTATGTGCCCTCTGATCCCCACTGCTATTTCCTGGGATGATCGAGTGGCAGGCAGGCTGCACTCAGCAAGAGGGAAGACTGCATGTTCAGGAGAGTGGCGGGGATGATAAACATGTCTCCTATGTTACTGATCACTCCCTTGTCATAACTAAAGCAATAGTATTGACTCTTGAATGCAAAAATACCTTCTTTTTGATATGCAGCTATTCCCAGGTACTGGTGAACAAGAGGGCCACAGAGCCAAAGCTACACCTTTCCTTCTGCATAATGGAAGATTCATAACCTTGCAGTGGCCCAGTTAGACCATTTGGGAGTGAACTCGAGTGAGATAGTTGGGCTGCCAAGAGACCCCTACAATGACAATTGGAAATCTCAGGGGAATGCTCCCCTACCAACACATATTTTCCCCTTCCTTAGTTTTTATATATTCTGAAATTATTATTATAATACAGGATTTATATAGCGCCAACAGTTTGCTCAGTGCTTTACAATATAACGGGAGACAATACAGCAACAATACAGTTCAATACAAGAGGGTTAGGAGGGCTCTGCTCCTTGGAGCTAACCATCTAAGAGGGAGGGGCTAGTGGTACAAAAGGTAATAACTGTGGGGGATGAACTGATTTGGTTATTAGCTGAAGGCAGGATACGCTTCTCTGAAGAGATAGGTTTTCACACATCACCTAAAAGTGAGTAGAGTAGGCAATAGTCAGATAAATTGGGGTAGAGAGATCCAGAGGATGGGGGAGGCTCTGGAGAAGTCTTGGAGATGGGCATGGGACGAGGAGACAAGGGAGCTAGAAAGCAGGAGGTTGTGGGAGGAGTGAAGAGTGAAGAAGACGGTTTGGGTGATATTTGGAGACAAGATTGGTGATATAATTGAGGGCAGAGTACTATCTTGATGCTCCTACTGTATATTTTCATGTTCATTTTTGTCATTGCAGAATTGTATTTATTTATTTCAGGTACTTATATAGCACCGTCAATTTACGCAGCGCTTTACACATATATATTGTACATTCACATCAGTCCCTAACCCTCAAGGGGCGTACAATCTAAGGTTCCTAACTTACATTCATACATACAAATATTAGGGCAATTTAGACAGGATCTAATTAACCTACCAGCATGTCTTTGGAGTGTGGGAGGAAACCGGAGTACCCAGAGGAAACCCACGTAGGCACAGGGAGAACATGCAAACTCCAGGCAGGTGGTGCCATGGCTGGGATTCGAACCAACGACCCTAGTACTGCCAGGCAGAAGTGCTAACCATTTAGCCACTGTACTGCTTATTATATTTAAAAATGTTCAATAAAAATTATTATAGAAAAAAAAAAAAAAAAAAAACAGCAAAAGCATGTACATTCTGCTATTAGCAGCTCATTTAGCATATTAAAGCTGAAGTTTAATCTGAAATAAAAAGTTCGGGTTACCACTCCGATTCCTATATCCAAACAATAAATGAGGCTCTTGTGAAAGCACCCATGGACATGAGAGGATAGTTTCCTAATCTGAGTTTTCTAGTTATTTAAAGTGTTTTTAAAACATTTGCTATTAATCAACATAAAAATGTACATGAAAGTACAATTTATTATCACTTTAGCAATATTTCAGGTTCTGGGATAAAGTAAGCCAGATTTGAGGTTCTGAAGTTGTCGTAGGCTTAAGCCCTTTTCACATTGCTCTGACACAGTTTCTCCGCAGCAAGGGTGCAGCACATAACTCACACGAAACCCTAGGTGCACTGCTCTGCACCCATGCTGTGAGGAAACTGCAGTGCAGCAGTGTGAAATGGTCCTTAGCTTTGACAGACAAAGATTGAGAACTGAATCTCTACAAAGCATGGATGTGATATACAGGAGCTGCCTAACACTCAACCTGGCCATTCTGCTCTTGGCTAAGAAGGTCTAATAATGACAAAGCAGCAGAAAATCAGGACACACTTGTTCTCTCCACACTGGTTACTGCATGTTCAGTCAAGCTCCCTTCCCAGAAATGAGTTCCTTCTATACCTGTCACTTGTACATGCAATAAACCAGGATGTAGTCAGTAGGCACTCAGAGGTGTTACCAGAAGAGAAAGGCAATGCAACACAACAGCTCTTGACAAGTAGGTTTATATCGGCAAAAAGAAAACCTACCTGAACAGACCTGAACAGCATTTATCTAGAAATAGTATATAAAGAGAGTCGTAACCTGCAGTCATCACACTCGTCAGTAATTGATGGAAAAAAAAAAAAAACATTCGCTGGCAAAGTTGGGGCCCTTGAAGAAAGCACAACAGTTCCCAGCAGACAACAGATGCACTAATACAATGTTAGCCTCTTACCAGACCCAGGGTGCCCTCATTTGGGTTTCTGGAAACATGATAAGATTCAGTTCAAGTCCTCAGACAGTGATAGGAATTTCTGTGCAGTCTGAGCTCACCAGGCATCCAAATCACACCTTACATCCTCCCAGGGAGAAGGTTCTTGGTCTCTTCACTTCTCTGAGTTCTCACCGGATTGTGGTCACCTATGGCAGGGATTCGTCCCGCCAGCAGCAGCTCAGTCTTTTTTCCACACGCTTGCTTTAAGACAGTCCACTGCCCTCACCCGCATGCAGACCCCATCACCTTGCTCTGTTGCATTAGCCAATCACCTCCAGGACTCTACCAACATAGCTTCCCCCTGCACTGGAAACATTCCATGGATGAGTATTGCAAAGTGGTTTCCTTAAAGATGGCTGCTGCACTTCTGCATTAATAAATATTAATTTTAATCCTGACCACACTGCAGAAGGATAATACAGCAGAAACAAAGGAAAAGGTCCTGCAGCCGATATCAGCTACGGTCCAGGTTAGTCAGTAAGACTGGACCCTTTAGTAGGGTGACAACGCTTCTTCTGCAGCAAAAATCACTTCAGCGTTGTCACTCTCTCTGCTGCTATGGCTGCTTAGACACTGGCGCTCGTGATGACACTCTTAGGTAGTAACCATGCCTATCTCCATTAACAGCACATTGCTGTAATAAAATGAATCATGGTCAGTCCATTTGACCCCCTCCAGCATTGTGTAGCTAGAGAAATCTAACATCCCAGCCACATTTACCATTAAGAAAAGAAGTAAACTGCATTTCTTTGAAAACATTAAAACTCACCTTGAAAATGCACATTTGGCACTCTGCATCCATTTAAATTGGATTTAAATATATCTTACCTAATGTGAAAAAAACCCAGGGTCCTGAATTCTGCCCATTGCTAGGCAGTTTTTTGGTCCTTCAGGTTGCTGGAGCCCTCTCCATAACCGTATAGACACATATAAAATGCGGACTATATTTCTCTATGGGTGTTGCCCATGCATGCGCAATTACTGGGTTTATCAATTTCCATAAGGAGTAACATACTGCCTGCTTTACACACATGAATTTCAAGGGGATGCAGCAGTCAGACAGTGTTTGGTGAGACAAAGCTGCACTTCAAACCACCATCTTCATTATTCATTACAACATATATTTTATTAATTTAGTTATTGATTTATATATTGATCACTCGTTTAAATCTTCAGTGCCATTGTAATAATAGCTCATGCAAATAAATCGTCCATAATTCTTACAACCAAATTACACAGCAACAACATTAATTGAATGGCAATGTTCCAGAAGTTCTCCCTTATAATACATTAAAAAATCCATCCAGTAAAATATTTTACCATCATAGCAGCGTAACAACTTATCTTTAACGATGGCAATTAAATCAGATCCCTGTTGCAGTACTTGCATCTGCCAAAGAATGCATTACTAGCTTAATTGTGTCTTCCAATAATCATCATAGTGATTGAAGAACTCTTTGCCAATCATGTAATGGTTTGTCTTCATGTCAAATTAAATGACAGGCAAGTAACCCATACCTGAATCCAGTCTCTGAACAAACCAATTGCTTGGCAATGACACCAAAAATTAAAGTCCTGTCGAGGGGGTACAGATACTGACTTCACATTCCTGCATAAACCAGGGTGATATGTGTATAAATATACATGAATGTACACATACACTATATTACCAAAAGTATTGGGACACATGCCTATACATGCACATGAACTTTAATGGCATCCTGGTCTTAGTACGTAGGGTTCAACATTGAGTTGGCCCACCGTTTGCAGCTATAACAACTTCAACTCTTCTGGGAAGGCCATCCACAAGGTTTAGGAGTGTGTCTATGGGAATGTTTGACCATTCTTCCAGAAGTGCATTTGTGAGGTCAGGCACTGTTGTTGGACAGGAAGGCCTGGATCGCAGTCTCTGCTCTAATTCATCCAAAAGGTGTTCTATTGGGTTGAGGTCAGGACTCTGTGTAGGCCAGTCAAGTTCCTCCACCCCAAATTCGCTCATCCAAGTCTTGGACCTTGCTTTGTGCACTGGTGCGCAGTCATGTTGGAACAGGAAGGGGCCATCCCCAAACTGTTCCGACAACTTTGGGAGCATGAAATTGTCCAAAATGTCTTGGTATGCTGATGCCTTAAGAGTTCCCTTCACTGGAACTAAGGGGTCAAGCCCAACCCCTGAAAAACAACCCCACACCATAATCCCCCGTCCACCAAACTTTACATTTGGCACAATGCAGTCAGGCAAGTACCGTTCTGCTGGCAACCCCCAAACCCAGACACATCCATCGGGTTGCCAGACAGAGAAGCGTAATTTGTCACTCCAGAGAACACGTATCTACTGCTCTAGAGTCCAGTGGCAGCTTGCTTTACACCACTGCATCCGATGCTTGGCATTGCACTTGGTGATGTAAGGCTTAGGTGCAGCTGCTAGGCCATGGAAACCAATTCCATGAAGCTCTCTATACACTGTTGTTGTGCTAATCTGAAGGCCACATGAAGTTTGGAGGTCTTTAGCTATTGACTCTGTAGACAGTTGGTGACTTCTGCGCACTTCAGCATGCGCTGACCCCACTCTGTCATTTTTTCATGGCCTACTACTTCATGGCTGAGTTGCTGTTGTTCCCAGTTGCTTCCACTTTGTTATAACACCACTAGCAGTTGACCGTGGAATATTTAGTAGCAAGGAAATTTCATGGATGGACTTATTGCACAGGTAGCAACCTATCACAGTACCACGCTTGAATTCACTGAGCTCCTGAGAGCAACCCATTCTTTCACAAATGTTTGTAGAAGCAGTCTGCATGCCTAGGAGCTTGATTTTATACACCTGTGGCCATGGAGGTGAATGGAACACCTGAATGATTTGGAGGGGTGTCCCAATACTTTTGGCAATATAGTGTATGTAGTTTGTTACTGACAGGGCAGATTCTCTGTGCCTCCTGCAATCTTTATCAATGTTAATCAAGGGGATGGGATGGGAAGGAAATTGGATGGATGGGATGGGAAGGAATGGGATGGGATGGGAAGGGAAGGGAAGGGATGGGAAGGGAAGGGAAGGGATGGGAAGGGATGGGAAGGGATGGGAAGGGTGGGCAAAGCTGACCCATTCTGCCTTAATCCATCTTTAAATAATCTTATTAAAAGTGGCCTTTTCATTTTAAGCTGCAGTCACTATGGCAATTTGTAGAAATGATGTATAGAATGCCCACAGAGATCTTATGTCTTGCATTTGTCATTGAGGATTCCACGCTTCTCTTTTTTTTTTCAAAACACAATTGAACAAGCTGATTGGCTACCATGCACAACTGCACCAGATTTTGCACCCTCCAATTTTAGTAAATCAACCCCATTGTCTCACTACATTTTAGTCATTGTCTGCAACAGGAATTTCAAAATGCCCGCTTACTTTTAAAAGGATAATGCAGACTGCAGATTTTCAAATTACAACACTGACAATGCTCAGGTAATTGCAATGAAGACTAACCATCGTACTCAGAAATCAGATTAAAAAAAGGACATTGTCTGATAGCAAAGGGCACAGAAAGGTACAAATCTGCAAAAAAAACCCAAACTTTGCTAAAATGTAACTATATACTGTACAATATTTTACTATATACAATGTATATAGTTAAACTACACATACATGTTTTCTTCTTAACATAGCTGGAGTTACACTTTAAATAATCCCAAATGCATTTGTTCACTTGACATGAGATGCAAGATGATATCATAAAATGCAAGAAATGAAGGAGACAATGCAGAGCTTGTCCTCGCCCTCCAGCAAGACAGCTAGTGTTCTACTGCCGTAGGAAGCTGCCACCAAAGGCACCAAACATCCTGTAGTTGAAAAAAAAAAAAGGGACCCTAAATGCCTCTGTTGTGCTGTTATTTTGTGTCTATGAAAAAAGGAGCCCAAAACCTACTGGGGAAAGCAGACCTACTTAACCTTCCTCTGCTGATGGAGCTTTGTCTCCCACCTCCCTACTGATGTTTCTAGGTTTGCTACTGTTCCCGTAGTGGAAAGATTTCACGCTTAGATTCTGTAGGTGAAACACCTTTAAACATATACATACATATTTCATAAATACCGTAAATGTTTTGTTACTCGTGTTTTAACAATACTGTTACTTACTTGTTCACCAAGTTTGTATGTTATACACTCAACACCTCTCTCTATTTCCACCTGGTTAAATGGACGGATTCGTAAGGCAACCTGTAGGATGTTTAAGAGAGGCAAATACAGTATTACTCGGAAAGACCTGAAAGGTAATTTCTGACAAAGCCAACCATACCACATAGAGAACATGCACTAAGCTTTTGTAAACTCATTTGGGATCCAGAAAAAAGTGGCAGGCATCAAACACTTCTGATTAGCTCTAACTGGTCACATTAAACAAATTTTAGTTCCAGTTTCTTTCTCTATAAAGGTGGATACATAAAATAGTGTCTTTGTACTCATTATCAGGATTAAGGTCACACTTGGAAAGACCAATATGTGGACCCGGTTCATTAAATGTGCATTACATTTAAAGGATTTCTAAAGGCAAAAGGTGTTTTACCTTAAACTGTTACTAAACCCAGGACCCTGCATTCACTATATCTGGTCTCCCCGGACCCCGCATTCACTATATCTGGTCTCCCCGGACCCTGCATCCACTATAACTGATCTCCCTGGACCCTGCATTCACTATATCTGGTCTCCCCGGACCCTGCATCCACTATAACTGATCTCCCTGGACCCTGCATTCACTATATCTGGTCTCCCCGGACCCTGCATTCACTATATCTGGTCTCCCCGGACCCTGCATCCACTATAACTGATCTCCCTGGACCCTGCATTCACTATATCTGATCTCCCCGGACCCTGCATTCACTATATCTGGTCTCCCCGGACCCCGCATTCACTATATCTGGTCTCCCCGGACCCTGCATCCACTATATCTGATCTCCCTGGACCCCGCATTCACTATATCTGGTCTCCCCGGATCCTGCATCCACTATATCTGATCTCCTTGGACCCTGCATTCACTATATCTGGTCTCCCTGGACCCCGCATTCACTATATCTGGTCTCCCCGGACCCTGCATCCACTATATCTGATCTCCCTGGACCCTGCATTCACTATATCTGGTCTCCCAGGACCCTGCATTCACTATATCTGGTCTCCCTGGACCCTGCATTCACTATATCTGGTCTCCCCGGACCCCGCATTCACTATATCTGGTCTCCCCGGACCCTGCATCCACTATATCTGATCTCCCTGGACCCTGCATTCACTATATCTGGTCTCCCAGGACCCTGCATTCACTATATCTGGACTCCCACAGTACACACAACATGGAAATGCAATTATTTTAGTAAACATAAACTGCTAAATACCTTTTCTCATCGGCAGATAAAGCAGTCTTGTGACTTCTATCAGCAGAGCACAGGTTAAAACTTATAGGATAAGTTTTTATTCTCCCCTGGTTGTCCTATGAGGTTGAATAACTCCTGATCCTCTGTCTGAACAATGCTGATTGGCCCTGTGCTAATCACATGCACCCTCCCAAGAAAAAAAAACTCTCTAGCAATACACACCACACTGAGCATATGCAGAGTGCCCCCAAGGCTCTGTTCTATCAGCAGATGGATTGAGAACAAAAGAAGAAGGGTAGGATCAGAGAAGACAGCATCAAACATCCTTTTTATACAATGCGGAGGATTAACCCCTTAGGTTCCACAGTGAGTATAACAAGCATGCTTTCCTGCATATACAGACTGATTTTGGTTTAGTAACACTTTAATGCATTCTCTGCATTAAGGTAAAAAAACATTTTAATAGCAGCTCCCCCAGTGCCCCCTTTCCTCAAACACCCAAGTCCATTCCCAATCCAGTGCTATCCTATCTACAGCAGCTCTCCTCCCATCTTTCTGGTCTCACAGGCTTTGCGGATAGCAGCCATTGGCTCCTGCTGCTGTCAATTAAATCCTGTGTGAGGAGGAAGGGGGGGGGGGGGGGGAAGGTCTAGCATGCTGTGTATGTCAATAGATGCACACAGCCTGGTTAAGAATTGAGCCCGCATGTCAAGGCTCGATGCTGCTCTGTGCAAAACCATTGCACAGAGGTGGTAACACATAATTTTCATTTTTAAGCAAAAAAATAGGTTTGGAACCACTGTATGGCCTGTTATCATCAAGACGGCCTGTGCTGCAGTGAAAATGTTTTCATGTGTTGAGGCATGTTGGATTAAGTAGCCCCTTTAGAAATATATGGGTTGTACGGAACCTTGCCATGCAAAATTTTAGTGCATGCTGCATTTTTTGTGTAGGTACATTGTGCATTAAAATGAATGGCACTGCAATGTACGCTATTGCAAAGCCCATGAGTGAACAAGCACTTAAGTTGGCCATAGATGGATAGACTTTAGAACAACCATTTTTAGTCTGAAAAAAAAAGGCGGAAAATTGTTGTCTTTCAAAAGTATTTGTTTGTTATTAACATTTGATTTTGGAATTAATGGGTTTTACAGAATGAAGATTACATACACTGTTAGAAATTCGTTAGTTCAGGAAAAACTTTCCATCCTGCTTCTTTGAATTTTCTCATCACTGCAGTCAAAACAAACATCGATTTGGCCGACTAATAAGAAAAATTAACAATCTTTCGTAGAACATTCTTTTCCTAAAAATTTTGGTTTGAAATTCTACCCATCTTTTGCTAGCTTTAGCAGGACCATATAGATAATCATGCAGGAATCCATTATCTGAAGTCCTGGGGCTTAAACTAAGTCACTGACCTGAAACTAATATACAGTATTGGCAAATTATAGGCGCAGAACTGGTGGTTGTCCAGAAACCACGAATGCCAGGAGGGGAGGGGGTAGGGAAGTATGGGATGCTAGAAATGTTCTACACTTCAGTTGTCGTCACAGTGTATCAATTTTGTACTGCTCTCAATAAAGGTTTCCTTTAAGATGATCAAATAATAAAACTGAGGGGGGTCCAATGAGTTGAAAATAGCTTGGGGCCCATGGTACAATTAATCTGTTAAAGGTTGGATCTAGCCCATTTGACATGGGGGTACAGTAAAAAAAAAGTCAAGGAGCATAACGTCAATAGTGTGATGGAGATACAGGAAACAAGTATTCCATGTTCACTTGGCATGCTTCTGTATCACGATTCACAACCTGGAGGAAGATTCTGATAGGTAGCGCAGGCAGTGCAGGGGTGAACACAAAACACTAGTATGTATTAGGCTGTCATTAGATTATGATGATAAAAACGAACCTGTGCCCCCTTATACTGTGTCAGGTCACTGTGTAAATATTCACCAGCACACCACGGATATTCAAATAAGTCTGAACAGTTTTTTTTTATTGAAGAAAGATCACATTAGAAAAAAGTGCAATTTTCACTCATTTTTTTGTAATGTGATCTTTCTTCCATACAAAAACAGTTTGGACTTATTTGAATATCCGTGGTGCTGGCGAATATTTACACTGTGACGTTCATGCTCCAGTATCCAGCTGGTGGTTGCTGCAGCACCCGGTACCTTTGAGAGCTTATTTCAGGAACGTGTGTGATGAGAATATGGACAGTTACCCTTATATTAGGTGTCCCTATCAGAGTCCCCCATTACATCAGGAGACCCCATCAGAGTTCCACCTTATATCAGGGTTTCTATAAGAGTATCCCCTTACATCAGGTGTCCCCAATCAGAGTGCCTCTTTACATAAACTGTCCTCATCAGAGTGCCCCTTATATAAAATGTCTTCATCAGAATGCCCGTTTACATCAATTGCCTCATTGGAATGCCCATTTGCATCAACTGTCCCCATCAGAATGCCCCCTTACATCAACTATCCGCATCAGAATGCCCCCTTACATCAACTATCCCCATCAAAGTGCCCCCTTACATCAACTATCCCCATCAAAGTGCCCCCTTACATCAACTATCCCCATCAAAGTGCCCCCGTACATCAACTATCCGCATCAGAATGCCCCCTTACATCAACTATCCCCATCAAAGTGCCCCCGTACATCAACTATCCCCATCAAAGTACCCCCTTACATTAACTGTCCCTGTCAAGAGTGCCCCTTATATCAACTGTCTCTATCAGTCCCTCTTCCATCAATTGCCCCCATTAGAGTGCCCACTCACATCAAATAACCCCATCAAAGTCCCTCTTACATCAATTGTCCCTATCAGGTCTCATGGATTAGTACTCTGAGATCTTCGGGGGCACAGCCCACCCCAGCATCCCCCTTAGATCCGGCCCTGAATCCGCTGCTGGTGTACAGGATTCACTTTGCATGGAACAGAATTCCTGTTCGGTTAAATACCACATTTGTAATTTTCAGAACTTCTGCAGTTGAAAAAAGATACAATCTGGACTGGCCAATTCCCTTATAACCCCCTATTCCTATCCTATAACTTTTATTGCAAACCTTTCCCCTCAAGATACATTATAACTGCCTGAGAACAGCATAACTTACTGTGATTTGGTGGTACTGAAAGTCCTCTTTGATGTTCATCATCTTCTCAGAATGTCCCTCTGCATCTGCCTCCGAGACACCTTATGTTGTCTGTGTGGAATCAGCATTACGTCAGTTCAGTACTGAGAGTTATGATACAGCAGTTTTGATTTATCTTCTACACTGCACACCTGTGCTGAGACACAAAGGGAAAAGTCTATTCCCGAGGTACCATTGCATCAACTCATGTGTTGGTACCTGTGTGTATGGAGACTCTGAGTATCTGTTGCAGACATGTAAGAGAAGCCTATAGTGCACTCAGTAAACTAGATAAACTGACAGAAAAACATTCAGATCAAAAAGCAGATGCTCTTACTTTTAAATCAGTACTGTATCTGCCCTTCTTGTATTAGCAGATACAATTCTAGGACCTGCCACCATCTCAGACTTGTGGCTGTACCTATCCCTCCTCCTCCCAATTTTTTTCTTAACTTTTTAGCGATTTGTGTATAAACTGGAGCTTGGAGAGAAAACAGGTGGCGCACACACCTAGTGCATTATCCAAGGTTTATTGTAGGAGTGAAATAATAAAAACATACTCACAGACGAAGCATGTATCTAAAAAGCATAGAAAAATGACAATGGCCACAACGGCAGGCAAGGTGTTCTCACTGTCAGCGCGGTCAAATGGCTGACGCGTTTCAGGGACGAATCCCTTTCCTCAGAGCTGATGACCAACCTCTGATGCTGATGTATGATGAATGGAAAGTAAGAGCCTCACTGTTGATGCCTGAGTGGGATGGTGTGGGAGTGTGCTTTATGCCTGTGGGGAAATGGCTCTATGCTTTTTAGATACATGCTTCGTCTGTGAGTATGTTTTTATTATTTCATTCCTACAATAAACCTTGGATAATGCACTAGGTGTGTGTGCCACCTGTTTTCTCTCTATCCAGTGGCTGATTTCCCCGTCTGAGGAGGGCTGCACCCCTGGAGCATTTCCTTTGGTTGTCGCTGTCCTGGTACCCTTGGCTTCCCTTTTGGCTGCACATATCTTGAGGCACTGGAGAGTACATACGATAAACTGGAGCTTGAGTTAATGGGTTTTGTAGACAATAGACATTTTCAGCAAAGCACGTAAACATAGACATATATAAAAAAAAAAAAAAAAGTCTAGAGCTCCACTTGCTGCTTAGTCCTAACTATAATATAGAATCAATAACTGAAACCAAAATTCTAATGCAGTGGAAGTTTCAGCACATATTTAGAATGTACCAAAAGACCTGCATAAAATCTCTGCA